CCCTTCTGTGCAGTGATCAGAGAATGTCCCTGAGGAGGACTGTTTCATTCACAGAATCATATGGGGTTGGAAGGGACCTCTGGAGATCATCTAGTCCAACCCCCTGCCAGAGCAGGTCCACCCAGAGCAGGTCCCACAGGGACTTGTCCAGGTGGTCTGGAATGTCTCCAGAGCAGGAGACTCCACCACCTCTCTGGGCAGCCTCTGCCAGGGCTCTGCCACCCTCACAGAAAGTTCCTCATGTTTAGGTGGAACTTCTTACGTTCAAGTTTGTGCCCATTTCCTCTGTCCTGTCCCTGGGCACCGCTGGAAAAAGACTGGCCCCATTCTCCTGACACCCACCCTTTAAGTATTTATAAGCATTGATCAGATCCCCCCTCAGCCTTCTCTTCTCCAGACTACAAAGACCCAAGTCCCTCAGCCTCTCCTGGTAAGGCAGATGCTCCAGGCCCCTCATCATTCCCCAGCATCAGGAAAAAAGCAAGCCAGTATTGTTGCAGTACCAGCCATCCCCTTCTCTTGCTGCAGATCCTGAGGCATCTTTTCCACAGGAGAGGAAAGGGTGGAAGAGCTTGGTTTTTATGACAGCTTTGTCAATTAAGTGATGAAACTGCTATTTCTGCTCAAAGATTTAGATCATCTGTGCAAACAGCAACAGCATTTCCATGTTTGTTCCTCAAAGCAAAAGGCATTCTGCAGTTGCTTGAACCAATGAGAGTTTCAGTGCAACATGCTTGTCAGAAGCATGTATTAAAAAGATATGAAATGGTCTTCCCCGGCAGTGTGAATGTGTTTGTCACAGCTATCGCTTGCTTTCGTTGGGTGCAGGTGGAGGTGGCAGCCTCCCACGTGTGCCATGGGGGGTTGTCCTTTGCTCACTGCAGCCAGTGGCCTTTAGTGCCAGCTCTGTTGCAGACAGAAGGGTGAGCAGTGGCTTGTGAATTGCGTTCTGGTCTAATACTTTGAGATAAGTAAAGTACTTCGGGATGCTAATATTTCAGTGGGGGAAGAAATTGGCTTACCTGTTTAAAAAAAATAATGAAATTTTTCTAAAAACAGCCCTCCCCCACCAGGCTCACTGTTGGATATTTATTTTTCGGCAACACTTCAGTTTTTGTGCTGTCAGGCTGTAAACCCTAGAGCCTGCAACACTTGTACTGAGTCAGCATCAGTAAATTGGTTCATACTCTCCCCCTTCCCCAGCATCAGGAAAAAAGCAAGCCAGTATTGTTGCAGTACCAGCCATCCCCTTCTCTTGCTGCAGATCCTGAGGCATCTTTTCCACAGGAGAGGAAAGGGTGGAAGAGCTTGGTTTTTATGACAGCTTTGTCAATTAAGTGATGAAACTGCTATTTCTGCTCAAAGATTTAGATCATCTGTGCAAACAGCAACAGCATTTCCATGTTTGTTCCTCAAAGCAAAAGGCATTCTGCAGTTGCTTGAACCAATGAGAGTTTCAGTGCAACATGCTTGTCAGAAGCATGTATTAAAAAGATATGAAATGGTCTTCCCCGGCAGTGTGAATGTGTTTGTCACAGCTATCGCTTGCTTTCGTTGGGTGCAGGTGGAGGTGGCAGCCTCCCACGTGTGCCATGGGGGGTTGTCCTTTGCTCACTGCAGCCAGTGGCCTTTAGTGCCAGCTCTGTTGCAGACAGAAGGGTGAGCAGTGGCTTGTGAATTGCGTTCTGGTCTAATACTTTGAGATAAGTAAAGTACTTCGGGATGCTAATATTTCAGTGGGGGAAGAAATTGGCTTACCTGTTTAAAAAAAATAATGAAATTTTTCTAAAAACAGCCCTCCCCCACCAGGCTCACTGTTGGATATTTATTTTTCGGCAACACTTCAGTTTTTGTGCTGTCAGGCTGTAAACCCTAGAGCCTGCAACACTTGTACTGAGTCAGCATCAGTAAATTGGTTCATACTCTCCCCCTCTTCCTCCATTTGAGTCTTTTTCCATTTTCTTTACTTACTGGCATATCATGGAACACCTTCTGCACTCCCAGCTCTGGCTTTAAAAATGCACCTGTGTTGATGCAGGGTTCATCTTAAGCATTCAGTTCTGCTGGCTTGCTCCTGTTTAAAAGAAGAAACGCGCATGAGCTGTGTGTACTGCTCGTGTGTCGCCCCTCGAGGAGTGAGGGAGGGGAGAGGGGTCCCATGAAACACGGGAACTTTCCAAGAGCATGTGATTTTGGAAATCTTTTGGAAATCCAGTTATTTTTGAACTGTATATTTCTCTCTGCCTGCATGTTTTGAGGCTTTGGTGTTTGGATGCGTCTGGGATCCTGGAAACTGGAAATGCTGCTGTTAAGATGTTCTCTTCCCTTTGCTTGGGGTGTCTACCTGCTTCACTGCCATCTTGCACCAGCTGGGAATCCTGGAAAGTACCTTGTTTCTTAGCCTCTTGGAGAGAAAAAGCCAGCAGCAAAAGAAAAGCATCTGAACATAAACTGCAGGCTGAAACGTGTGAAAAAAATGTGTAGTAAAGCTCACAATTGTGAACAGAAATTTGAGCAAGCTTCATGGTAATTTGCTGAAGTTTGGGCATCTGCCTCATGGGTGCTACTATAGTTGAAACTGAGTTTTGTTTTGATGTGGTGTGTCAAAATGAATTTATTTTACCCCTGTTGCTAGCATGAATGCTTGTCTTCTACAGAGAAGTGCTGTGGAAAGCATGCCAATATACTAGATTATTTTGCTATGGGAATTTCTATAGCCCTGCTGCTCAGAACAGGACGCAAAAGGAGGTGTTTTTCAATATAAATGCTAGAACTGGCAGGAGATAGAAATCGGGGTGAAATCAGGAGGGAGTGATGGGGTGTGTTGGCTGAAAGTCAGGTCACTTGCTGCTAATAGGCACAGAGCAAGTGTATGTGACCTACAGCCAGTTTCTTCTGCTTATGGCAAGTAGTAACTGATAAAATAGTAAATACATTGATAATTAGATAGAGCCTTTTGTTAATTTAACAAAGAGGTGTGGACTGCTTGTGGAGTAAAATGTGTTCAGAGTGAAGTTCAAAGGTTAAGATTTATGTGCTTTGATAGTATCTACAGTTGTGGAAGTTAAGCAACTTAGTGTTTGGGTTTTGGTTTGTTTGGGGTTTTTTTTCCCCAAGATAAGCTTTTTCTAGGGTTTGGGCAAGTACAGAATAAATTGGAAACCAGATGTTAACCCCTTTCAGTGTCTATATTTAAGGCAGGTACAGCTATTTGTGTGGATTTCATATTTTTCTTACCGTCTGCATAAATCATCGAATAGTCCAAGCAGACCAATGTCTATTAATACTTAGATTACAACATAGTACATGCTAATTCTTTTTTTTTTTGAGAGTAGAAAAAAATATTTCAGCGTATTCAGTTCTTAATTTTCTTAAGTGTTATAGTTAATTGTGTGAATGCAGAACTTGGTCCATGCTTTTCCCTATGAGTGCTCAACCATCTGCAAGGATGGAATAAAGTAATTCTTATCCTACTTCAGGCCTTTCTTTGTGTACAAGTAACTCTATTATTCTCTAGAATTCTCTATTCTCTAACTCTATTATTAACTCTAATATTATTATCTTGGAAGCTGCTGCACTGTTCTCCATTCTGATGATTACTCCTTGGAGCTTTATTATATTTTAACCATGAAAATAAAAATGATACTTACAGTTATGGAATAATTTAGGTTGAAAGGGACCTCTGGAAATCACCTGTGTCAGCCCTCTTGTTTAAAGGAGAGCCAACTTAAAACATACCATGCTTTGTTCTTACTTGGTCTAAAATTAGTTTGAAGAGTATGTTAATGTGGTAGGGTATGGTCTGGTTTTGAGCTGCTAGTTTCATTTCTGTTTTGCTCTTCCATGAAGCTTCTTCATTACATTATCATTTCTACTAATGTTTAAAATGTGGAAATATTTTCTTGAGTTCTGTTTAAAAAAAAAAATATATATAAAAATTTGAATCCATATATCATTATGCCACCAGGAAAAAAAGTGCCAGTAATTTTCTAGCACTTTCTTATGAATTCTTTACTACATCGTCTCTAGATGTAAACTTACTGTTTTCTTATTTGGCCCTTTTCCTTAATGCTAATTTGTTTTTTCTAAGAGGTACTTTTCCTAAATTGTTTATCTCATGTTGTTTTTGGCAAATGAGTTACAGGTAGTTCAGAATAAGAAATTACTATTTTTCCAGAAGTACAGGATTGATGGGTGGTTTTTTTTTTTCAAAATCAAGAACTATAATTTGTTTCAAATAGGTACATTCTCATCTATTGCAGTATCTTACATTTAGGCAGTCAGAGCTACCTTAGCAGCTGCTATAGTGGTCTGTTACATAGAAATCATGGGAAGTGACATAAACATTATTGTTTACATAGCCTTGCAAGGGCTTGCATGCCTAAAATGTGCTTTTTGGGTTTTGTTCTTTTGTGTGGCTATACCTGTTTGGGGATCAGTGGGGACTTGAGCACGGGTTTTAATTTGGAACACCTTGTGGTTTAGTCACACAAGACTATTTTAGTAGTTTCCTGTTGGATTTTATATGCCACTCAAAGTTGTAGAGAGAGACCAGCATGTAGCATCTATGTGATTCCAGTGAGATGATGGATGATAGAAGTGGATTACTTGTCTCTGCTTTTTTAGTGGATTGCCTTCCTAATGGATGTTAACCATCAGCTGCTTAACAGCTTGGACTTCTAATAAGTTTTAATAATAAGTTACCTATTTGAGATGTAAGGAGATTTCCTTAATAGTGACTGTGGTCAAAGTAATGTGTTTTCAAAAGTTTCCTTCCTGTTTTGTGGTGTTTTTTTTCCTGCCCAAACCTTTTTTTCATTTTTAATTTTTAGAAGAGACCCCTTATTACTGCCTGTATGAAGCTGAATTGTTCCTATATGGGAGTTGGTTGGAGTTGTTGCTCTGACTTAGGTACAGTTAAATATTTGATTAATGTCCACTTAATGCTATTGTAGAAATTTTACCTGCTTTACAGATATTTCCATAACTTAAATATTCAGATATTTATCCAAACATAATTGCTATGGGTTTTCCTGCGGAGAGGCTTGAAGGAGTATACCGGAACAACATTGATGATGTCGTAAGGTAAGGCTTGACTTTTCCTTAACTTACTCTTGTAAATCCTAAGTATCCTTTTCTGCACTCAATTATGTTGTGCTGAGGAATGGATGGATGTTGTGACTTACAGAAATGGCAAAGTTTTTGCATCTCTTCAATGTTGCCTTAACTTTCCTGAAAAATGTTGGAGACAATAAAATAGATATTTTCAAGAATTTTAGGCCAGACTGTTGTTCTGGGTTGATCTCAAATACATGAGATCTGCTTTTTACTATGAAAATTGACTCCAGTGAATTGTGCTGGAGTAAAAGGAGGTTCTCTGCACTTAGAAAGATGTCAGTCCAAGCCTTTGTTCACGGTTTTGAGTTTCCTCAGGTAGCATTTCAGAATATGTTTGCCCATATCCTTTCTTCAGTCGATAAATAAAGTGCTTGATAAGTTAATTTTGATTTAAATTAGTAAATACAGGTGACTTTGTCTAAAAGCTTTTACATCTGGCTGTGTTCAGTAATTGTGGATGAGGAGAAGAATCAGCTAAAATTTGTTATTGCTGGTGATGCTTTATAGCACATTTTGTTAAAAAAAAAAAACAACAAAAAACCAAAAAACCAAAAAACACAAAACAACAAAAAAACCAAAACAAAACTAACAAAAAAAACCCCTAAACAACAAAACACACACCCCCCAAAAAAACAAAAACAAAAAAACCCCTACAGGTTGTCATTTTTAACATCAAATAGTTATCTATTCTGAACTGCTGGATACAAATGTGGAAGGTGTTCTTGGTGTTTTAGGACCATTGTAATTTGTAAATGGAGAACGTAATGTGAGAACTTGCATTAAAACTAAATACTTGGCAGAAGCTGCCAAATATTAGTGGTGTCAGGATCCTAAATTTGATTATATTTTTTTTTAAGTCATGTGTGATGCTTTTGAGATCTTGGGCATTTGAGGTCATAAGTTCAGTAGCTCTCCAAGAGACTTGATGTTTGGGAATGGAGGGATAATGCAGTAAGGGGCATGGTTATGCAGTAGGTGTATCTGGAGCACTGTGTCCAGTTCTGGGCTCCCCAGTTCAAGAAAGACAAGGAACTACAGGACAGAGTCCAGCGGAGGGCTACAAGGCTGCAGGGATGAAGGTCGAGCGCGTCTCTGATGAGGAAAGGCTGAGAGACCTGGGTCTGTTTAGCCTGGAGAAGAGAAGACTGTGAGGGGACCTTGTCAATACTTATAGATATCTAAAGGGTGGGTGTCAATAAGATGGGGTCAGCCTCTTTTCAGTGATGCCCAGTGACAGGACAAGGGGCAACGGGCACAAACTAGAACCCAGAAAGTTCCATCTCAACATGCAGAAAAACTCCTTTATGTTGAAGGTGCCAGAGCCCTGGAAGAGGCTGCCCAAAGAGGTGGTGGAGTCTCCTGTTCTGGAAACCCGCCTGGATGCATTCCTGTGCAACCTGCTCTGGGTGACCCTGCTTTGGCAGGAGGTTGGACTAGATGACCTCTGAGGGTCCCTTCCAACCCCTGCCATTCTGTGATCTGGGCAAGGAGGCCTGCTCCCAGGTTTGAAATGCCACAGAAATTTCACTGGCAATCATTTGCTTCCAGGTTTATACAGAAATGAATTGAGACCTCTCCTTGGTTCCCACACTGGGAAGAATTGTAACCCTCAACTGAGAATCAGTCATTTGGAGGCAGCAACTTTTCTGCACAGCTCCAGTTAGCTTCCGATGAGTTCAAGGGGTTCAGTTTTAGCGTAGCTGACCATTGCAGTGAAGCTTGCTGTCCACGAGTGGGGTGACCAGGCTTGCAGAAGTGACTGTGTTCTAGTGCATGGTAGTGAGAAGTCCCTTTTCCCAAGCTGGTCCCATCAGTGAGGTTCAGCATAGCAATCTGTAAATACCCTTGCAGAGTCTGTATGTCTCTGCTAGATTTGTTAACAGAAGCATGAAGCTGTGTTTTCTGATCATATCATTGCACACAGCTTGCATTCAAGAAAACACTTTTGCTGTCCCACAAACTCAAGCTATTTATTCATCTTTCTTTATCAGCAATCAGAGCCACCATTTAATAAGTTGATGTGGGCATTGCATCTGCTGTGTGAAATATGTGGTCCTTGATGGACTCCACCTTCAGAAGTTGTAGGATAGGGGAAAAGGATGGAGTTGGAGTAAATAACATAGGAGTAATCCAAATAAATAATAATACACAGTAGTCTTTGGAGGCCTTCTTCCATTCACAACATTGATTTCAGTTGCTTCTGTATGAAGCGGAAAAGGTTTTATTGGTTAGTATGTAGTTTTGTGCAAATTAGACTCTTGAAAGGGAATGTCTGTGTAATTATTAAGTTGTCCGTAAACACTCTGATCAAAAGGAGTAGTGATCGCCTAAAAGAATAATCAACCAAATTAAGATATGGAGAGGTATGAATTATGTGGCTGTAGGGAATTGGATGCTAAAGTACTGTTATATTTGTTGCCCCTTATTTTTAAACAATAATAACAAAATGTAACCATGCAGCATTCTGCCTGTTGCAGTCTGCAGGTCCTCAGCTGCTCCTGTTGTCTCTTCATTGTAGATTTTTTTTTTTTTTCCCAAGAGCTTTTTGTGCAGGAATTGAATGTGTTTGAGCTCCAGAGCAATTGGTAGTGAGCCAGGATATGCCAGTGGGCTTTTTCTGAATAGCTGGTATCCTGACAAATATAGTGCTGATACTGTATGGGAAGTGTGGCCTGGACTGCTGTCTGTCTCCTGTGCCTGATGCTTCTTGAGGCTGTGGATATTACTGGCAGAAGCAGAGTCAGCTCTCCTTGCTCTCCAGAATGTTTTAAATGAATGGGGGACGTCTCCTGAACAAATTGCCATGTCCACCATCTTCCTTAATCTCCTAAAGCCTGCCAGCAGACGTGTCAGTGGGAGTCATGAAATATTTTTGCTGATGAAACTGGAATCTCACACTCAATCCGGCACAAGTAGCATTCACATCTGTTCTTATTTTAACGCGTTGGTTTGACCACAGAGTTCCCCTAGGTTCTTCTGGAATATTATGACTGATACAGAGCTTGTTTTTGCTTGAGCTTTCCAGGATATTAGCAGCTAGTGTTTCTTTTCAGTTTGAACAGCATGTTCTGTCATGGCTAATTAAATTCCTTCTGGCTGATGTGCAGATACACACTGTTGATGATGTCAAGTGTAAACATTTGTATGTTATTTCTTCTTGAACATTGCCAGGTGACACATCATATATAATCATGGCAATTTTGATGAATCATGTTTGCAGTTTGGTGCTCTGAGGCTTGTATGGGAAGTTTTTATTACAAAGTGAGCATGAAAATTAACTGAGTGGGAAAATGTATAGTGGTCTTCCTCCTCCTTTCTTGAACCCAGAATATCATTGGGCACTGTCCTTTGATTTCAGTGTCAAATTAAATTAAGCGATTCTGGCTAGAATATGAAAGTTAGTTTAACTGCTTTTTTCACTGGAAACACCATAGTATCAAAATACTTTTGCATAGATGATTAAATTAAAAGTAGGTGTTTACAGATACCAAGTGTAATCCATGCTTTCTGCTTTAAAAATAAACAACCATTCCTCAGCTTAATATATTGATGCGCAGATATCTTAAAAATCAGTGCGGGTTGGTCCATACAATAAATATTCAGTTGCAGGTCACATCTTGGTCTCCTCAGTTGCATAAGTGGGTTTATTCATACTACTGGGTTATTTGTGTGAATGGGGTTTGCAGCATGCTGCCTCCTTGACTTTGAGGGCCTGCAGGGCCAGCTGGGACTTGGAATGCAGAACTGCACATGCTGGATGCTGCTTTAATGATGCTGCAAATTAAGGTCAACATTATTGCAATGTATATTAATGAATGCCTTTTTTTCTATTTCAGGTTTTTGGATTCAAAGCATAAAAACCATTACAAGATATACAATCTGTAAGTATGCCCTTATAGATGTATTTTCCAAAATAATGAGTTCTAAAAATAGCTTATGAGTGAAAGTGGCTTGTTGCTGTACTGAAGCAGAGCTAGAGATGTTTTGCACATTTATTAAAGCAATTAAGCCTGATTGAGAGCACTGTTACTTCATTTAGTGGAACTGAGTGAGGTTAAATGAAATACTGGTGTGTATTCATATTACTTGAATGCTTTTAAATGACTTGGCATCGAGCCCATCTGGAGCTTGTACCATGTGATTAAAAAGTGAAAAGTAATTCACAGCAGGCTTTCTATTAGTGTATTAATGTCCACAGTGCAGAAATTGCCAAATTAATATTTTCCTGTTTTTTTTTTTCTTTTTTAATTGAACTGTATTGGTACCCAGGTTCTGGTCACTTCCACACTCTTATTGACTGTACCTGTTTAGTACTTTGAAAAAGCTATTGCAGCAGTTGCTAATGTGATGTTTACTCACTTTTGGAAATGTAATGTTTTCCTATGGAAAATTTAGTTATGCAGAAAGCTGTTGTTACAAAAGGGATTTTTTTTTGGTTGTTGTTCCTTGATCATCTTTATACGTTAGTTTAGGCTAATTTCATTTGTATAAATGACTTGGTGATGTCAGCTGATGTTGAGAAGTAGGTCATGGTTTTCCTACCCTTCATTTTTTTTTCCAGAAACTTAAGTTGTTGATTTATTGATTCTCTGAGCTGTTAAGGCCTTTATTTTTTTAAGTGATGTGAAATGATACTAGAAGCTGAGAAATTGTATGCTGGTTATTGAGGTTGTCTGTGAAGCCTAGGGTAGGATGCGACAGAAAATAAGATGTAAGCAAAATATGTATTAAATGCATTGAACAGCTTTCATAGAATTCAGTAAAAAAATTATTTTCTCCAACTTAAAAGCTCTCCAGAATGTTAGCCTTTTAATAAATGCTGTCTTCATTGCACTTACAGCTGGAAAGCACGGTGCTTCCTAGAGTAGCTGATAGCTCCTTCTGTGTGTAGGTGCCAGCTCTCTAAAGAGGTGACTTTCTTGATGTCTTCTTTTGAAGTCTTCTGTAGCTCAGCACTAGAGATCTGTATCAAGTACAATCTAACCACCGTGTTTTTATTAGACCTCCCCTGAAGCCTCCTGACAGCTTTTCCTTGATTTGAGGAGCAAAGCAGAACAGGACAGATAAAACTGAATTTCCTCCTGCTCCTTGGGGCTGAGTTCAGCCATCAGCTTCTGTGAAGTGTGGCTCTGCTATCATGTATGAGATCAGGGTTTGCTGAGCTGCTTGTTTTGAGAGGTGACAGGTAAAAACAATAGGTTGCTATGTATAAACATCAAGGCCAGAAAATAAGTGTTCAGTAAGACTTTTGTGCATTTTAGCAAGTAGCTCCTCAGGGAGGTGGTGCTTCAAAAGTTTCCACCTCCAGCAACCTCATTTTACGTTAGAAAAAAGCAAAAACCAATCCCCCAACCCTGCACAGGAACAACTTTAAATTTTTAGAGTGAGAAGAGCGATGTGAAGAGACAAATGCTTTTGACCTTTACATTGCTGATATGTGTGTTTTCAACTACAGACAGAACTTGTCTGGGTATGCCGAAGTCTTCAAGTGCTTCATAGAAAAATTTTAACTTTTTGGTGCAAGAATCCCCCTATTGATTTTCCTTGTGATTTTCAAAACAATCACAAGTGAAACTTCCTAAAATTACTGTAGTCACCCTCATAGGAAAACTTTTGCGGGATGAAACATCCTTTTAAAGTGCATGTTTGTTTTTTTTTTTTTCATCCCCAAAACATGGATGAATTGCAAATGAAGACTCTAGTGACGCCTGCACTGCTTGGAAAGCATGGCTTTTAAACTCTCTATCTCTGGCTAAAGAGGCCAGATTATGGCTTTTTGCAGGAAAACTTATACACGTTAAGTACATAAATGCCATTAGGTGAATTGTTGCAATGTTTGGTCTTGAGATGGGAAGAAATTGCAGCCTTCAGATATTTTGGAGAACAGCATCTCTTTAGATTAAGCTGATCCTTTGTAAATAATCAGCCTATTGTCTGTGTTTAAAAGAAAGAGGTGGGAGTTCAGAGGAGTTATGTGATTATATTCAGAATTATTTCAGACACTGTCATGGGGTTTGAGTTCCCTTAAGGTAGCTGTTATATGAAGTTTATAATGAAGTTGAGCAGTTTTATTTAAAAGGATTGAGAGAGATTTTTGTGAAAGGATGCTTAAATGATGTCAGTTATGCCTCATCCTTGCATCTTGGCTTTTGACTTGCCAGTAAATGTTTGAGCATTCAATTTCTTTTGTTTGTGTGGTTTTTTCACATGTTCCTTTCAGTGTTCTTCTTTATTTTAACATGTTCTTCCGCTTTCATCTCCTAACTTCACATAGTTCCTAATTGTTACCTCCCCTATTGTAATAATCTCCATCTCCAGTATATTTCTTTCAACTGTTCTACAAGCAGATAGTTAAAGGAAGGAGCTCTAACGAGCAACATGGATTTTATGTGTATACTTTCTGTACCTCTGTGTACACAGGGTTGGGCTTTGGCATAGGCTGCCATCTTTTCAGTAGCCTATAGTCCTGTCATCAGTGGGATTGTGATGTTGATCAGAAGGGTACCTGGCTGGCAGGATTTAGGATCTGGGTTACCTTAAACTTGCTTTAATCATAAGGAGGATTACAAGAACCATGCCAACCCACTCCCCACCCCAAAGTGCAAAAAAAAAAAGTTCAGGTTTCCTCGGGAGATCCAACTGTATTACAGGTCTGATAGTGTATGAAAAAAACCAAATGCACTTGAAATGCTAAGGAACAGAAGCATCCCCCAGGGTGTGTGCTGGTGGGATGTCTGCCGCAAAAACTCCCATTTCATTACACAGAAAACAGCTGAGTTTGTACAGCCGAGTCTGGAGCTCTGCATTTGTTGTGTGCATCTCCTGTAAGAGGACATAACGAGTGACCTGGCTATGTTCTGTGCTCACTTTCTATCCTTGGTATCAATACAACTATTTTTTTTTTTATCCCTTACGGTGTTCTATTTGATACATTCTCAAACTTCAACATATGAAGTTTTTTTTGCCTGTATGTGGATTTTTTTGTTTGTTTGAAGACTTTAATCTCTTACTACCCCTTTGAATTTGGTATTTCTTTAAAAGGAGGAAGGAAACTTTCTTGGATAAGATGCTTGTTTAACTGCTTTGCTTCCTAGCAGCTTTGCCCAGCATGGCTGAGTGTACATACTGTGTCTAACCTTTCTGCTCAAAGGCTTGAGTGCAGATAATGTTTTTTTGAGTCACACTTGCCAGCTTAACCTGCTCTGTATCACTTTTGACCCAGGGAAAGTGTCAGCAATGTGATCAGAGCTGTAAAAACTGCCAGACTTTACCCTAGCAGAGGCTAGAGTCAAGAAGGCTCTGGAATTCAGAGAAAGGGAAGCTCTGAGTGCGTGTGCAACCCCAGCAGACCTGCCTCTGTCCCTGGGGTGTGAGTCTCGTGGCCAAAGCTCAGTGCAGCACTTGCGAGGCTCCAGATATATGCAACAATCATACCAACAGGAGCTGAGGAGTTTGCGTGTCCCTAAGTGTCAAGTAAGCTCCCTTAGGCTCCAAATGCTGCAGTAGTAACATACCTGTTAAGGAAAGATAAGTTCATACCAGTCCGGAAACTGGTGTGGGTATTTGAACCCTATGAAGAGTACACATTATTATCAGAGCAGAAGATCTAGATGTGTTGTGTACTGAAATGACCCCCAATCAACCTGGAGTCCTGTTTTGAAGTTTTGATTTTTCTCCTTTTCCTTCTGAACTGCATTTTTACTTGCATTGTGTAGAGGCACATCATTTTGCCTGCAGAGAGCAACTCCAAGGAAGATTACAGAGGGCATCCACTTCTTGTCATCTTTCCCCTTACCCCCAACATCTGATCTAGCTTGTTTCCTTTAGAGCATGCCATTCTGGCATGCTGTAAAGGATGCATTAGGGCCCTACCGACTGGATTGTTGCATCTGATTACTGATGTTTGTCCCTAGGAAGTCATCCTGCTAGATGAGTATAGTGTGGTTTGCTGTGCTACTAGCTCCTACAGACTGGTTGGCTAGACATCGATGCAACTCCAAAGACTTCAGAAATGTGCCATTTTCCAGGGTCTGTGGGGGGAAAACGGGCTGATTTGCCTTCTGGTTTTTTTTTTGAGTTCACCTAATTTCAAGAACAAATGCCAAGGTGGAGACCAGTATCACAGTTTCTTGGTCACTCGATGCAAGTGCTGTTATGATATTCAATGGTGCTTTTGGTTGCCTGTGGTGGTCTTGTTGTGGTCCTGTAATTGGAGAAAGAATGTTTGCTTAGGTTGCATAGCCAAGGGTCTTTGAAATGTCCTTGTGATCCCCATCACCCCTAGCACCCATGTTGTTGTTCAGGGATCTTGACATGTGTTTTGAGTTCAGAGTGAATTGAAGGAAGGTCATAGTCCTCTGCTCTTTGTGTGTTTGTGTGGGAGCATAAAGCTGCTCGAGAGGGTAATACTGCAGTGTTAAAGAGTAATGGTGTATTGCATTACTTGTGTGAATGTCTCCATGGAGAGTCGCACTGACTGGAACATACTGATGGACCATAGGGTAAGTAATTGTTTTTCAGAAAAATAGCTGATATTTAGTGAGCAACTTTATATATCTTCAGTAGAACAGTTTTTATCTATGTAACCTCTAGCTATAGTTTTAAATCATAAAGTTGATGGATATACATGATTTTCCCATATGTTGATCTGTATGTTCCAAGGTGTGACAGATACTGGGAGTGCCTTAGAGACTTGTCTTGAACTCTTGTCTATTTCTCTTCCTTAGATGTGCTGAAAGACATTATGACACCGCCAAATTTAACTGCAGAGGTACGTTTTTCTGTCTAGTGTTTGTTCTTCTATTTAAACTTCAGTGTTTCTGGATGAAAGTATAAAGTAGGAGCTGATGAATAGTAATGTAGGGGATTTGGGCACAAGGAACATGTCAGATTGCTTTGAGTCATTGGAGGAATTTGCTATATTCTTGATGCTTTCAAAAAAGTATGTTCTTGGCAGTTAAATAGATCAAGGTCTAATAAGGCAATCAGAAGTCTTCTGTTGGAGAAATTTTTGCAGGATGGGTTATATAGAAGTTTCTGTTAAATTCAGTGTGCAAACTTGCTGTAAAATTTAGATGTTGAGCTTAGAGAAGTCTGGTTTTTATATGCAGAAGCATCACTTTTTGCAGAGCACTTAAGCCACTGTCACTGTTCATGTAAAACAACTTTTTGAAGATTTGGAACAAACTTTCCGTTGCTTTAAAAAAAAATAAATAATAAATTAGTTTCCAAGTGATGCTCTTGGAGTTGAGTTGGTTCTTAGACACTTTGCAGAGTTACCAGAACAAGTGCGGAAACTTTTCAGGGCTCCTATCGATCAGACCCTTGGTGGGTAAAAACTGGTGTACCTGTTTTGTCAGTATTAACTCCCTAGTTAATGAATGAATACTGATTTACCTTTTCTTTTTGTGCAGAGGAACAATTCTGTGCGCTGTACTGGAGCGAGCTTGTAGTTCCTCTTTTTGCAATGCCTCAGAATGGCTGAGTAGATAAGGAGTTCTTGTGTGTCTGTAATTGCAGGAGGTGAATAATTTTTGGCCTTACTGGCTAATACTACATCATAGCAAGGGGTCAACAACTTCTTTCATTATTATGGTTTCAAACCATCCCTCGAGTTGTAAAGAAGATGTTTGGAACATGACCAAAATGTCATTGGCTGCTTTAATGTCTGAATGTAGGATGGAAATTTTCATTTTGAAATCATCTTCGCTCCTGATTTGCTCTTATGGTGTTGAACGACAGCATCCTGAAACCTCACTCAATACATCCAGGCCAGAAAGAAAGATTTAAGATCTGCTTGAACAGTACTTCTAGGAAGAGGAGAAAAGGTGTTAATGAAAAGGATGTGCTTCTGATATGTCCAGAACATATGCTTGCTTTAATTTATGCTTTCTGTTACAGGGGTGCTCAGATCCCTTCACTGTCAATCCCAGCCCAAAATGTTGTTTGTGACAGCCCCTTTCACATCTCCCCTGCATAAGACAACATTGTTGTAGGGAGCTATGTGTTGCCTGCCTTTCTTTTCACCCCCAAATTAGTTACCTTAGATAACCAAATTGGTGACTTGGAACTTCCCTTAGCAGAGGAACAACAGTTCTACTTTAAAATCTTCTAAAGTGATATGATTTCAGAGGGAACTTCTCATTTATACATTTAGCATGAAACGCTACAGTAGTTCATTATTCAACTTGGATGCTCTTGCATCAAATTCAAAGCCAAATGTCGAAAGCTCTTTTCCTTTGGATGTTAGCTTTCTGTCTAGGGTTTTGCAATTTCTGAAGTACCTCCATACTGGAAATTGCCTTCTGCTTTGCCACAGGCTTTCCTTTTTATATATTTTTTTTTTGCTATGTGATTTTTCTTGCAATGTCTAGGATCTTGGAAAGAGTAATCAGATACTGTGTGCTCCAGTGTTAGGAACCAAAATCCATGGAGGACCTGCACCCTCTAAGCTCAAGGTTGTGCAGCTTTGTTTCCTAAGGTTGCTTTCTGATGCTTAATCCTTCTGCACCATCACAGGACATGCATTTCATCTGCTCCTCATTTCATCTTTGAAGAAAATACCGCAAGGTTTGCCTGTGATCCCAAATCTTGGAGAGCATCTTCAGTATGCTGTTAGTATGTGGGGTTTTTCAGGCTGTTCTTTCAGGATTACTTTTGTCTCTCCTCTTCACGAGAACCTTATTGAATGTAGTTAAGATATACTCAAAGTTGTATGGATGCATCTGCAGCATCCCCATACAGCTTCTTTTCTTAGAGGTTTCTAAATAAAATCCTCTTTACATTTACATCTGCTGCAGAAAGTGGCATCTCTAAGTTCACATAAAATGGTCATCTGGGGAGTCTTTGGATCTTTCATGTGGAAGAATTTATAAGTGTACATTCTCATTCTACGTTCTTTGCTGTTTTAACAAAGATTACTCACTTTGTTGGGCCTACCTGTTTGGTTTCCTGGGAGATTAAGGGGGTGGTCTGTACTGTGAGTGAATATCGAGCCAGCAATGTGCCCTTGTGGCCAAGAAGGCCAATGGCATCCTGGGGTGCATTAAATAGTGAGGCCATCAGGTCAAGGGAGGTCATCCTCCCTCTCTATCCTGCCTGGGTGAAGTCACATCTGGAGCACTGGGTTCAGTTCTGGGCTCCCCAGTTCAAGAAGGACGGGGAACTACTGGAAAGAGTCCAACAGAGGGCTACAAAGATGATCAGGGGACTGGAGCACTTCTCTTACAAGGAAAGGTTGAGGGACTTGGGTCTGCTTAGCCTGGAGAAGAGAGGACTGAGAGGGGACCTCATCAATGCTTATCAATATCTAAAGGACAGGTGTCAAGAGCATGGGGCCATACTCCTTACAGTGGTGCCTGGTGACAGGACAAGGGGCAACAGGCACAAACTGGAACAAAGGAAATTCTGTCTCAACAAGAGGAAGGACTTCTTTACTTTGAGGGTGATGGAGCCCAGGAAGAGGCTGCCCAGAGAGGGTGCGGAGTCTCCTTCTCTGGAGATATTCCAAAACCACCTTGGATATATTCCTGTGCAACCTGCTCTGGGTGACCCTGCTTTGGCAAGGGGGTTGGACGAGATGATCTCTGAGGGTCCCTTCCAACTTCTACCATTCTGTGATTCTGTAAATTATCCTTGTGGACAAGTCCATGGCCAAAGGGCTTCGGACTTGTGCTGCAGTGAAGTCCATATCTTTATCCCTCACTTCTGCTCTTCAAGTCCTTAGGGATTCATCAAAAGAAGCCATGTGTGTATGACGAGAGAATGTTACTTATGGAATTAATACAAACACTTCCCAAAAATGAGATGTAGTCATATTTAGACCAGAAAAGGCTATGGTGGCTCTAGCTGAAAATCTTAAAATGAACCAGACTTGTATGTATTAGATCCCAAGTCTGTCGATCGAGAATTGGGGTGCAGTTTATAAAGTGCTGTTCCCTTGATGAGGGTAGTACAACCCTATGTAATATGCTGGTCAGCATGGCATTGTCTGCCATCTTATCCAAGGTGTTGGAGGTTTGGGTGCTTCTCTCTGTTTATTGCTTATTTTTTGTTCTCTTGAGTTCTCTTTCATTTTCTTGAAATTCTTTCCATCTCTAGATGGAAAAAGTGTTTGTGTGCATCCATGTAACAAAAAGGACAACTTTGTCTGGTAGTTTCACTTTAAAACCTAGAAGTATAATGAGTGCCTTGCATGAAATTTCTTTTCTGATGACCATTTTCTAATACGGAAGTTGTGGGTTTTTGTTTCAAAACCCCTTTGAGCAAGTTCTGAGAGTTTGTTCCCAATGTAGCACCCAAGCGTGCTCAGGTATTTTTCAATGAAATTCCTATTGTCTGAACAGTGACTGACATCTGGCCCTGTTTTCTCTCAGCAGGTAGCCTAATCATTGCTAGAGTACTGGGTTTTCACAAGGTTATTCTTTGTGCCAATGTTCTCTTAAATTCTAGAAAATCTGGGGTGTGAGATACAGAGTCTGTGCCACTCATTTCAGTAGCGGTGTGAAGTAGTCTCTTTGTGTAGCAGGATGCTTGCTTGTGTATTACTAGAGAAATGTCTGCAATGCATATAATATGCAGTAAATTGCTGAATACACTAGAATAAAAAATGTATATATCTATATGCAGGGTGGGGGTGAGGTATTGGGAAAGGTAATTTTTTTGCATACTTGTCACAAAGTTGACCTGTCTAGTTGAGCTTGCTGTTATTTCCTTTTGAGACTTTGCTAAACTACTAATTCTCATTGCAGTTGCACAGTACCCTTTTGAAGACCATAACCCACCACAGCTAGAGCTTATCAAACCATTTTGTGAAGATCTTGACCAATGGCTAAGTGAAGATGACAATCATGTTGCAGCAATCCACTGTAAAGCTGGAAAGGGACGAACTGGTGTAATGATATGTGCATATTTGTTGCATCGAGGCAAGTTTTTAAAGGCTCAAGAAGCCCTAGATTTCTATGGGGAAGTAAGGACCAGAGACAAGAAGGTGAGCTGTTTTCTGTTCTTCTATTCTCCTAACCTATATCTGTATGATTTTGCATCTTCAGGTCAGTGAATCATAGAGCGGTTTGGGTTGGAAGAGACCTTAAAGGTCATCTAGTTCCTGCCCTGGGCAGGGGTGCCTCCCACTAGACCAGCTGTATCAAAGTCCCATACAGCCTGGACTTGAACCCCTCCAGGGAAAGGGGCAGCCACAGCTTCTCTGGGCAACCTGTTCAGTGTCTCACAACCATACCAGTCAATAATGTGTTCCTAATATCTAATCTAAATCTCCCATCTTTCAGTTTAAAACCGTTACCCCTTGTCCTATTGCTACACTTCCTGACAAAGAGCCTCTCTCCAGCTCTCCTGTAGCCCCCTGCAGGTACTGGAAAGGCACTATAAGGTCTCCCTGGAGCTTTCTCTTTCCCAGGATGAACAACGCCAACTTTCTCAGCCTGTCCTCACAGCAGAGGTGCTCCAGCCCTCTGACCATCCTTTTGGCCCTCTGCTGGACCCGTTCCAACAGGTCCATGTCCTTCCTGTGCTAAGGGCTCCAGAGCTGGACACAGTGCTCCAGGTGGGGTCTCACCAGAGCAGAGTAGAGGGCTAGAATCACCTCCTGTGACCTGCTGCCACGCTTCTTTTGATGCAGCCCAGGATGCGGTTGCATTTCTGGGCTGCCAGTGTGCATTGCCAGCTCATGTTGAGCTTTTCATCCACCAACATCCCCAAGTCCTTCTCCTCAGGGCTGCTCTCAAACCATTCTCTGCCCAGCCTGTATTTGTGCCTGGGATTGCAGTGACCCAAGTGCAGGACCCTGCTCTTGGATTGGTTGAATTTCATGAGGTTCACTGGGGCCCATCTCTCAAGCCTGTCCAGGTCCCTCTGGATGCCATCCTTCCCTCCAGTGTGCTGACTGCACCACACACACATCTTGGTGTCATCAGTGAACTTGCTGAGGGTGCACTCAATCCCACTGTCTGTGTCACCGACAAAGATGTTAAACAGCAGTGGTCCCAGTACTGACCCCTGAGGAACACCACTCATCACTGGCTTCCAGTTGGACATTGAGCTGTTGACCGCAGCCCTTTTGAGTGCGGCCATCCAGCCAATTCCTAGCCTTAGTTTAGTGGTCCGTCCATCAAATCCATGTCTCTCCAGTTTATAGACCAGTATGTTATGTGGGACAGTGTCAAATGCTTTGCATAGTCCAGGTAGATGATGCCCGTTGCTCTCCCCTTATTTACCAATGCTGTAGCACCATCACAGAAGGCCACCAAATGTGTCAGGCATGACTTTCCCTTGGTGAAGCCATGTTGTCCTTATTCTCCATGTGCCTTAGCAGAGATTCCATGAAAGGATCTGCTCTATGACGTCTTGCCCTGCGCACACAGGTAAGACTGACCAGCCTGTAGTTCCCTGGGTTGTCCTTTTTTTCCCTTTTTGAAGATGGGGGTTATGTTTCCCCTCTTCCAGTCAGCAGGAGCTTGACCAGACTGCCACGACAGGAATGGAAAGTGGCTTAGCAACTTTATCCGCCAGCTTCCTCAGGACCTGTGTGTGGATGGATTTCATCAGGTCCCATGGAATTGCATACCTTCAGGTTCTGTAGATGGTCTCAAACCTGATCTCTCCTACAGTGGGTAGTTCTTCATTCTCATAGCCCCTATTTTTTGCCTTCTGCCCTTTAAGAATTACTTACCATCAGTTGTGATACCTGGTTTGATTTACTTGTAACACTCCTGGATCAGTGCAGTTGTTCTAAATGAAAAAGCTTTCCTAAGCAGCAGCAATTAGTCACAACACTAAAACAGTCTGTTCTTTCCATCTCCTGTTCAAGAAAAGCTGGTTTATTTTAAATAGCCTTTTAAACAGCATTCTGCTGTGTGTTGGGTGGTTGATGAGTGAACTTCTTTGGTGTTTTCAACCCAAATAAGATGATTATTCTAGCTTGTTTTGCATGAATGGGTGAGTAGTTCATCTCCTCAGTTTCTTTTAGCTTCTGTGGTGGTGTTTGGAAATGCGTAGTCATTACAGTGTGTGTGTGTGTTAAAGTTGAATATCCCTACTGGAAGATTCTGTTGCTGGATTCCCCTTTTCAATGAAGCGGTAGTTAAGCCCACATATTGTCTGCCTCACAGCCTGCTTTGTGAGCTGCTGCTGTTTAGTTTCTTGTCTTTTCCTGAGGAGAAATGGGGAGGTGGGGTGAGAATCTCAGAGATATTTCAGAGAAATTGTGTCCATGGCTACAAGAGCATTCTGTTAAGACCTTGTCAGTGGTACAGATGCACTTAGCAGTAACTGTATGTTGGACCTTTCTCATATGGTTGTGCCTCATTACTGGGAATTTAACCTCCTTATTTTAAATCTTCTTCAAATATAATAAGATGTGACTTGCAGGGTGACTTCAGCAACCTTTCCTGCTCATCTTCCATCATTTCCTTGTGTATGTTGGTGGAGCAGCCCGGGGGATCATCCTGGCAGCCAGTTTCACTGTACTCCAGTGTAGAGCTCTCTGTGTTCCTGCAATATTTGCATAAAGTATTAATTTCACAGTGTGTAGACCTCATGTTTGAAGGCTGTTAATTCATTGAAGGGAGCAAATAACTTCTTAGTTTGCTGTCTTTGTACATGGAGCTGTTATTCTGTGTACTGCTGAGAAGATAGTTTTGATGTGATACTAGAGCAGAGACAGCTTCAAGTTTTCCCATCAAAACTTCACGGCTTTTGGTAGGACTGCATGATACTGAAGAGGAATGAGCTGTGGGATGAATAAACAGTGTAGATTACTCCTGCTAATAGGAGCTGGATCATCAAAACTTACAAAACTAAAAAACTTAAAAATACATGATGAAGCATGTTGTGCCTCAGTTTCCCTGCTGTAAAACGAGGGCGGTGTTTCTGCATCTTCGTGTGCTGAGGGTGAAGTCAGGTGTTCATCAGCACCCCGGTGGTACCTCTGGCATGTTTGAGGTAATGAAGAACTTAGTAAACAGGAATAGTGAGAGCCTTGTTTAGCTTCACTGTAAATATTATCTGTAACAAGCAACTTTGTTCTGGTTTTGATGTCTCTACTGGAAGAGTTGATTTTTATTGTGATTTTTTCCAGCTTTGCTTGGGCACGGTTATCTTTCTACAGACAGTGGGCAGTATGTGATTCATGTATTTACTAAAGTAGGGTTTTTAAGTAGATATTCCAGTGCAGGTTCTGAGAGCTTTTTCTTCCCTTGTGGCCCATATGTCAGTGTTATATGTCAGGTTCTGCTCTCTGATTTGATGCTTCCCCACATTTTTATATAACTGACTTCCTGGACTCAAAGTAAATGAGGCATCAGAAGAACTGTTCGCATGTAGGGTGAAGAGAATGCACTTTTTTTAATTTTGTGGGTTTTTTTGTGGACCAACAGATGTATGATGAAGGAAAACTGGCTTTAATGAGGTTTCAAATTTTCTTCATTTAAAGCAAGCATAGGGTGCCCACTTTGTATATAGCTGCTCAGATTAGTATAGTGAAAATCGCTGTTGCAATTACTGTGTCTGGCAAAGTGATTCTCAAGAAAGTTTAGTCCATGTCAGCAGGAAGTGTGCAAGAGGAAGTGTGACTGATTGGTCAAGAAAACAACCTCAAATCCTTCTGTAGCAAGTGTTTCCCAAGTGTCTACTGGGAGAAGAAGCTTCACAGAGGCCTTTGCAACATGAAGTGAGGGTGGCTGTAGATGAGACTGCTAGATATTCTGCTGCTGATGTCCTGGGAAAGGTAGTAGGGAATAAGACTCGGGGAACTGAGTCTCAAAGTCTGTCTCTGACCAAAAAACTTCAGGGTTTGTTTTTTTTTCTTTTCTCTGTAAGATGCCTCTTTTGACTTCTCTAACTCATCATAGTGGGGGGAACTTTTTCAGAAGGGAATAATGAAGATCAGAAGGTATTGACTAAATGGTTGTCTATCAGTCACCACCACTGTAGTAGAACAGGACTGACTTCTGTTTTTTCTTTGAACCAAGGAAGACAAACTGTTTTCTGAAATTGGATGAAGAAATGTAATTGTCCAGCCTGTTTTCAGAGCTGGAGAAGCAGTACACCTCCCAAAAAAACCTTCTAAGAAAGCTGCTGCTTCCACTGTTTGAAATGGTTAGCTTATCACCTGGTTTCTTCCTTAAGATGGACACTGAAATACTACTGTGATGCCAAAGAGTGACAGCCTACCTTCCTACAGCTGGAGAAGGTCTTTATTTAGTCCTGCCTTGAAGAGTTTTATGGTGAGGATTAGGCTTGGAAAGAAGCGTAGTCTGCTCAACAGATAGATAGCAGCTGGGAACAGCTATTCAAGTGCTTGAGCTGGAGATGATCTATCAGGAGCATTCTTTGACTATTGTACTGTTGTATTTTTAGGAATGGCTCCTAATAGTGGGACTATTTCCAGGAAATGGAAACCAATTATTTTGTGCAAGAAAGTTTCAGAATGGCTCTTTGAGCAGGGTAGATATCCATGTCTCAGAGCTGGTCGGTTGTGATGCCTGTTTGTTCCATGTACTCGGTTGACAACCTCTGCTAAACATGACACCGTAAGCCTAGTCTGAGGCTGCAGCTGTAGCTGTACTGTCATAGGGCATGTTATTAAAGTGAATCGCTCGTGAGACCCCACCTGGAGCACTGTGCCCAGCTCTGGAGCCGTCAGCACAGACAGGACATGGACCTGTTGGAACGGGGCCAGCGGAGGGCCAAAAGGATGATCAGGGGGATGGAGCACCTCTGCTGTGAAGACAGGCTGAGGGAGCTGGGGTTGTTCAGCCTGGAGAAGAGAAGGCTCCAGGGAGACCTTATAGCAGCCTTCTAATATCTGAAGGGAGCTACAGGAGAGCTGGGGAGGGACTCTTTGTCAGGAAGTGTAGTGACAGGACAAGGGGGAACGGTTTTAAACTGAAAGATGGGAGATTTAGATTAGATATTATGAAGAAATTCTTGACTATGAGGGTGATGAGGCACTGAAACAAGTTGCCCAGGAAGTTGTGGCTGCCCCATCCCTGGAGGGGTTCAAGGCCAGGCTGGACAGGGCTTGGAGCAACCTGGTCTGGTGGGAGGTGTCCCTGCCATGGCAGGGGGGTTGGAACTGGATGATCTTTAAGGTCCCTTCCAACTCTAACCATTCTATGATTACTTCCAAAAATGTTTTGTTGGTTTTTTTTTTTTTTTTCATAATACAGCCCGTGCAACATTGAGAGGAGAACCAGAAGCAGCACCTGATAATTTTTGTGATGTCTACATAGCTCAGCAGTGGCCTGTGAAACTCTGGCATAGGGAATAGAGAAGCTTAACTAACATCCATTTGAAAAATTATGATGGTGATATATGGGATATGTAACTTTCTTGAGGAGAAAATACTTAAACAGCTTCCCTGTTTTTCATTCCTCTTGACTAAAAGTAAGCAGGGGGGTGATTGCACCTCTCAGAATATTAGCTTGTTATGAAAGTGTTCTGCTTAGAAATCAGACCTTTGGAAAATGGAGAACTTTCTATTCCACTTGGTGTGGTTCTTTCTTCGCATCTCAGGGTAAAGACTATGTCTCCAGGGAGTTAAAATCTCTGGCTGGAGGGATGAAACTGCCCTCCGGGATGAGAACTGGTTTTCCTTTGAGATCAACTATCACTTTATATAGCTGCAAAAGTGACTGTGTTCCCTTTGTTCTGGTCACAGCCCTGGTTGTCCTAAGTTGTGCTGGGGTTTCTCCTTGGGGCGTATCCTTTACGGCATGAAGAAGCTACGAGCAGAGAAGGATGCATTTTCATTACCTGCATGGTTTCCTTCTGGTTGGTGGCATTAGCAAATTACTGGTGCTTTGCTCTGAGGCTGGGATTTTCTCAGCCGTGAAGCTTAGATCTCAGGAAAGCAAACCTTAAAGCTCTGTGAAGAAGTGGATCTGATAACTACTGAGCTGAGGTCTGAACCAAAAATGTGGTCAGTGTAGAAGGCTAGGTAACAAGGTCATTGTACAAGTGATGTAGGGACATGGCTTTTGTGTATTTTATTAACAGGTGAAGTGGCAAGGAGACATAATTATCAACTTTTTTAAAAAAATAATGGCAGGAAGTTAATATTTTCATGTATGTAGAGTAGATTGTTACTAAATTGAAAGTACTGTGGCTGCTCTTAGCTTATGACTATTGTAAGGTGAAGCAGGTGTGAGAACTAATGGTTTATAGAAATACTGTGTTCTAGGTTTTGTGACCAAAATGCTCATAGTTGTATACGAAGCCTTTTTGTTTATCTCCAGTTTACTGCAATTTCAGATTTAGTTTCAATATGAAAGTTTACTTACTGATGCTGTTGCAAGTATGAAGTATGGGTTGTTGTATAAACTATGTAATGCGTTTTCCAGGAAATCAAATTATTTTTCATTTTTATCCCTTTTGCTTGAAAATATTAGCTAGAAGAACTTTTAAACTATTCTCTTACTTGAAGTTTAAGTTGATTTTAAAAACAGTAATAAAAATGTTCTTTGGTTATATGTTCTCAGAGCAAGTATTTACATCAGTAATTCAATTGAGAAGTCCTTCATTTAACAGTTTGGACTATTGGGCCTATATTAATGAAATTTTCCACTTCTGGTTTTTGTGGAAGCATTTCAGAAGGGTATTTTGTGATGGAAGGTAGCATCAGTCTTGAGTACAGTGATATTAGCAAACAAAATCAGAACCTTTTGACTTAACTGCTGTCAAAATTTAACTCCTGTATTGTTGGTACTTTAAAATTAGAGTATGTTCAAGATGCCTCTGGCTTAATGTCCCTCCCCCCAAAAAACCCAGTAGTGTGAAGCCATCTTTTACATGACCTCAGGGTGTCTGAGGTGTATGTTTTGAGATATGGAAAAGTCTGCATTCTTTTCAGGTATCGTTGGAGATACATACTAAAGTAATGGGAAAACCAGTGTCCTGCTTTTTCCATGCTGAGGACTGGGTGATAATTAATTGCCTGGGTTTAGATAATGTGTGCAAGCAGCTTCCTCTTAAATACAGGAGTAGGAGATGAGGACGTGTGTCTAGAGAAAAGGGAAATGCTTACAGAGGCTGTCTTTGGGAATGGTTTGGAGGTGGATTATGTCTTTGCTAGTCCTTGAGGTGTCTGGGATGGTCCGTAATGAGAAAATGGCAGAGTGTCCTCACAAGTGACTGTGGCAAAATGTGCGTGGTGGGTTTCTGTGCAGTGTAGAAAGCCCTGCAGCATTTGCCTCCTTTCCAGGTACGGCCAGCCTAGATGCTTTGCCCTGTGTGCTGGTCCCAGCATGGCTGCTGCAGAGGCATACTTGGCATAAATCACGGTGGTCTGTTCCAGGTTCTTTAGCTACCTTCTCATTGAAGATTCATTTCCCTTTAGTTAGATTCTGAGGTAATGGGCAGGAGCTCTGGTAGTGATGATAATAAATGGTCTTGATGATTTTTTGACATTTGTTTTCTCTCTCTTTAGGGAGTGACAATTCCAAGTCAGAGACGCTACGTGTACTACTATAGCTACCTGTTAAAGAATCACCTCGATTACAGACCAGTGGCACTGCTCTTTCACAAGATGATGTTTGAAACAATTCCCATGTTCAGCAGCGGAACTTGCAGTAAGTACCCAGCACCCCGTTACCCTCCATAGGGCTTGTGAGGAAACACATTGGCCTTTGAGCGTGGTTTGGTTCTGTGACAGTTACCATTCTGTTACCTGACCCGGAGAGCTGCCCATCTGAATAGATGAGGCAGTCATACTTAAACAATTCGCATCCCAAAATCTGCTGGGTTAGTGTGGTCTATCTGCTAGCATCCTTCTAGGTGTAGTAAGTTTAGGTCTGTGAAACACTCATAGGGTTGTTTCACTACAGTTTTAAATTGGGAAGTATTTAGGAAGAGTAGATTCCTTGAAACTTTGAAGTATAAACACGAATTCACTTCTGTCCTTCTATGGGCTACATTGCAGGGCCGGAACTGCTCAGTGTTGTGTGTTCGTTTTTTGTTAGTGGAAAACATCTTTCTAATGGCTTTGCTATGGGGATTACTGCAATGTGTAATTAATTCCAGTGCTTCCTGTGAATTTGATAAAAATAGCACTATTAATATTGTTGCAAGACAGTACCTGAAGAAACACATAAGAAACAATCAAGCAACTTGTCCAGCTAGCTGTAGTTACAGGGAGGAGGAGGAAGGGAGGAGCCTCTGCCAAAAAAACCCTGCCTCTAGGGTAGAGGTGTGGAGGTCACAGATTTCTGCAATTACCACTCTTTTATTGTTTTGGATAAACTATGCTATACTTGCAAAATCAAGCTACAAGTATGTATTTGTCACATGAGCATTAACTTGTTTGTCTGTCCTGGGCTGGTGGCGTGCTATTTTTGCAGCAGGATGTTGGGATAAAGGAAAGAAGATGACAGAGTAACTATCAACTTCAGCATCTTTGTCTACTGCAATATCTTACATTTCTGTGGAGTTTTCAGTGATTTTTTTTCAGAATGTGAAACCAATGGTCTGTGTTATTTCTTTAGTTGTGTTATCTGCTGCGATGGTACTACTTTCACTAACACGAGAAATTTAAATCTGACTTCCTTGCTATCTTACTTGTGTTTTAAAGTTACAGACCATGCAGCGTTGTGCCTCTTGGGTAAACTGAAGGGATGATGGGCTTTCACAGTTCTGAGGATTTGAGGGAGATAAGTAGCAGTTTTACAGCTAGCCTGTTCAGCAAGACAGTGTCTGTATGCACAGTAGGGACTTCTGCAGGGATGGTTTCAGGGTGACTACACGCTCTGTGGCAGGATATGGGTCAGTGTGTATTGTCTAGAGAGCAGTATGCATCCCATTCTAACAGAAGTCAGGAGCAAATGCAGAAAGACTTCTTAGAATAAGTTTCATTTAATATTTCTGGCTTTCATGCTGGTGTCTGACAATTTCCAAAGAAAATCTGCTTAGGCTGCACCAAAAAAGCCTCATAATTTCAGCTGTTACCCCTGCAGATTGAATTTGGAGAGTTACATGGAGGCTAGCACTTTTTTGGTAATGGTGATCTACAGAACAGACTTATGGTCTGTGTCTGTATGATCTGTCATTGCTGGTTGTCTTGCATACTAATGTTAAAATTAATTAATTAATTTTGCCTTTGTTTTTGCTTGTGCAACAGTTCTGTTTAAGAGTAGAAATCAATTTGTGCTGGCATGACCACCCAGTTTGAAGCAGAGATGAAAGAGTTACGTCCATACAATATCAAGATGAGAGGCAATATGCATGGAAAAGTCAAGAAGCTGTTGCTTCCTATAATCATTTCTTACTATATTAAAGAGAAATGGCACCTTTCTAGGGACCCCGTGGTTGCTTGAAAGTATTACTAGCAAGGACAGAAATCTGTTAGGTTGTTTCCAGTAACGTCTAGTAAAGTTTGATGCCCTATGGTGATTAACTTTTAATAGATATTTAACTTTCAAAATATCCTAGCACATGATTGTGGTTCTGATACTAATATTGTACTTTTTGACACTGTAAGGCATTCCTTATGAAATGACGCTCTGTTTTGCCATGCAGATCCTCAGTTTGTGGTGTACCAGCTAAAGGTAAAGATATTCACGTCCCCTTCAGGACCCTCAAGACGTGAAGACAAGTACATGTACTTTGAATTCCCTCAACCTTTGCCGGTATGCGGTGATATCAAAGTGGAATTTTTCCACAAACAGAACAAGATGCTGAAAAAGGTTGGTTTTCTCATTTTTCTGGAAAATGTTGTCGAGCCAATCCGGATGCAGGGCTGGGATGTTGGTTATTCTTCGGTGATGTGTAATCACAGTATTTAATTCTTCGATGTCTAGTTTCCCCAAGGAGAGAATCTACCACAAAATGAAAGCTGGATATTTTGAGAGCTGGTGAGATTTAAGTACAGAGGTTACACTGCATATGTATTGTAGTTGTTTGGGTAGTAGTGAGTAATCTAATCGATGGAAGTCTTCTGTAAAGAAACCACCTTGATAATCTGCCTCAAAGATCTGTTGAATCTAGTGTCTAATTGCCCTCAACCTAGTATAAGACAGGCCAAAAGAAGGTTAGGTATATGGTGTTAGTTAGGTATATGGTTCTGGTAAGACTACCTCTGATAGCTCTAATGTAAATAGAGACATGGATTGAGGGCATCTGGGACTGGGTCTGTGGATCGTCTCGGGTGTAAGCATGTTAGTCTGTTTTAGGAAACCGCTGCTGAGGTCTTCATGTTGAGAATTAGTGAAGTAATCCATCTCTGACATTTGCTTTGGCACTAGAGGAGATCCTTCCACATGGTCCTTTTGACAACTTGTTACGTAAGGTGACTGAGATGGTAGTAGAGCAAAGGTGAATATTGGTAGCAGAAAACCCTACCTTGGCACAAAGTTGAACACGTTTCTCTGTACAAATGTTTTACATCTGAGCCTGTTCCTTTTCTAGACAAGCTGACTCTACCCAGCTTTTACTCAAAACGCAGAAAGAGAGGGACTTCCATTGTAGAGACTTGTCACATTTTGAAGAAGATCACCTCTATACAGTGATCTCGTAATTAATAAGGAACAGTGTAATTAGGAGTAACAGGATCTTATACTTTGGAGATTCTGGCTTATTCATGTGTTTTTATGAAAGCTGGAATTACAGGTCTGTTGCCTGTCTCTGGTTCACCTCTTCCAAGGTTTTCTTTTAGCAGACTTATAGGTAGCTGCTAAACAAGTGTTCTTGCACACACATAAAGGCGATATGTATGTGCCAGTCTGCATTTTAAGTTTCCATAAGAAACGGAATAAAAAAACCTAGTAACATTAATTAAAAATGTAGTTCTCGATTCCTTCTGGGCCTCAGGCTGGAGCATGGCTACATCTCATTTGTGGAGATAAAGGAGATGTCTGTGTGTCCTCCTGCTGGGTCTGGTTTGTTGTTTGATCCCGCTGATCCTGGCCTAAGTGTTCCAGATTTGCTCACCTGTACTTGCTTCCAAATTTTTTAATCCTCTGAAGAACAGTAACGTTATCTGCAGAGCTCTCTAGTGTGGAGGGTCTTCCTGAACTTTGATCAAGCTCCTCTTGAGTAAAATTATTATGCATGAAACAAAACAAACTTGAAGGATCAAGTGGCTGTAAGCACCTAGCATTGCAGTGTCAGTGTGAAATTTAAAGCAGTCGAGTGTCTTGTGGGTTTTTTTTAATGGCAAAATTAAGCAAATTCAGTGGCTATCAAGAGCTGACCTGAGCCAAAGGATTATTGGTGCTGGTGAGAAGATGTTGTGAAGAGGGTGACTGCTTTGAAAAAGTTACCCTGTTTCAGCTCTTCCTTAATCTGAGCCACCTGGCATCAGTTAGTAAGTCCACAACTTACAGTCTTTTCTGGTCTAATAAAGTTGTTTATTCTTGGACCATTTTTTCAGTATGATGTAGCTACTTCCTTCCGAGAATGAAATGCACTCTCATTGAGAACAAAATGGGTTGTTCAAGTACAGTTATTAGGTATGAATTTCTGACGGATAGAAGTTAGTAATTCTGGGGATTTTTTTGAGCATTTTTTTTTTCTTACTTGTAGCTTGGCTTTCTTCCATCTCAGACTGTCTCTCTAAGTTTGCTTCCTTGTATCTTTTTCTACCAGTTATTGATGTGGACGTGATAATCTTAAAGTATGTTAGAGTATCCTTGTATCACTTGGTTCAATGAGAGTCTGTTTTAAAATAACACAGAAGATCTCGTAGTCTTCCTGCCCGAAGAGCCTGGGGGTAAAGGGGACCTTTTTCAGGAGTCCTCCCAGTACAGATGAGGAGGAGACGTTGGCGTGGGTTTGTCTTTTTTAAGAGTCTCTGCTGTTTTATGCCCAGACTCTAGTGTAGGCAGGACTGATGGCATTGTTTGTGCTGTTGGGTATTCCACTTCAACTCTTGAGTCCGTATAGATGAGAAGTTCTGCTACACAGTTCAAGAGGATGGGTGACTGCTGTTAAGCAAGCACTGAAGAATGAGCTCTGAAAATGTCAGAAGACTTTAACTTTTCTTTTGAAAATGGTGCAAGAAGTTCCACGAGCCATGACTACAGGAAGACTGTGAGGCCAGCATGGAAAAGGCTGAAACATGATCTCCATCTTCTGATTGCTGGATAGCATCTCCAAAACCCTTTGCTGGTTCTGCAAAGTGATTATAAGTGCCTGTAGATGTCTGTGAAATTAAACTCTGGGAGGATATGGGAACTCCCAGCTGATGGCTTAAATGGTCTTGGATTTGGATCTCAGTCTGGAGTTAGATGCAGATACCAGCTCTATAGCGAGGTATATTTTTCTGACAGTCTGAGAACTGAAAAAGTACACAAGGTAGAGATAAGTATTGTATTTCAAAATAGTGTGATTAAATCAGTTTCTGTCAGATACTGCACTGTAGATTTTATGATACAGGTTTGGTTAGGGGAAGAAATACATTGCGATTTTTTAATTTAATTTTTTTTTAAGGCAGATGCCTATGATGTAACTGGAAGTGAAGCAAAACACATTCAAAAGCCTCTAGCTAATATTCATTTTCAGAAGCCTAGTCATTAAATTATGTTCCTGTGAGTACTTATCTGGTATTCTGATTTGCTATATAAAGTCCAAGTTCAGTTCATGCCTTAATTTTAAAAATTCCTATCTTTAGCCTATATTACATCAACTTTTTTTGTTGTCTCCCATAAAATATCTTGGAGCCTGATGCTTTAGCAGAAGCTGCCTGAATCCTCACTTTAAATAATGAGTTTGTTTTTCCAGTGATAGCAATGACTCAGTTATCAGCCTTAAGAGCTGATTCCAAACAACTTGACCAAATCTTCTCTCAATTTCAGTGACACTGCCATGTTCCAGTACCCATGAACTTAGTTTATTAAGCTAATTAAGTTAGTGTAGTGGGAAAGGAAGGAAAATAATGTGGTGCTTTAAAAAGCTGGAGGGAGATAAAAGGATAAATGGCCAGCTTAGCCAAGTTGTATTGTTTAGTTTGAGTCCCTGAAGACCTCTGCAAATTTATCCCATGGAAAACAGATTGAAAGGTGTCTAGTGAGAAGTTTGTTACCTGTTTTGACTTCTCCAGACTCTATCAGTAAAGCTGAGTCCCTGCAGTTGCTTGTTCAGGCAGGCCCAGTGCCAAGGAAATCCTTCCTGTTTCTCCACCTGATGAAGTTTAAAGTGAGGCATGATGACACCATGCCTTCTGCTTCTGCTGGCACTGGTTTACATCCAGTGGTCTTGTATGCATTGGTACTGCTTTCCTCCAGAGCTGCTTCAGCACTATTGGTTTAAGTCATTTCCCATCCATCTGTTGCGGCATGTTCATCAGCTTTGTCCCTCTCCTCTGTTGACCTCTCTGAAGGTGTCATGGGTGGCACTGAGGACCAGCACCAAAGTGCATTGCTGCTTCTGCATCGTGGTCCTGAAGAATGATGAAGTAGCATCATCACCCCAACTACAAGAGATGGGATCTCTCTTAATTATGATCATGGTGTGGAAATGCACTTTCTTTTCTGAATCCTCACTGGATCGATGGCCTCTTCACCACTGGTGAAACTGCAGGTGGTATATCCACCTGCTTACAGAGCCGTTGGGTGCTGGATCATCAGCTCGGGTTTGCCTTTACCCACTGTTTATTGCAGGAGGGATTCCAAAATCCCACCTCTTCTGTAGTTTGAAAGCCGGTACCATTGGCTGTGGCTCTTTTGACTTGAACGGGTGTTCTGGTTCGAGCAGGAGTAGCCATCTCATCTCCTTGGAGAACTACATATCTTGAGGGACTCGTCATCTGGGAATAGGAGGAGCCTGGACCAGGTTACCCTGAAGATGTCCTCATGGGAAAGGCCTACTACTGCCTACTATCGCCCTCTTCATAAGACATCAGCAGGCAGGCTGATGACTTGTTGGAGCATTACAGAAGAATAAACCCTCTTGACCGGGATGTTCGTCCTCTACTTCCAGATGCTGGGACAGGCATTTTGAAGACTGTTTCTGAAGTAGTGTTAGTGAAGAATAAGAAGATTCTTAGTGTATGAGCAGGTTGGGCCTGGGAAGAAGCTACTGACTGCTGCCTTGTTTGGATGGGCTCTAACAAGGCTTCTTCATAGATGTGATGGTGTGAAAGGACTTGTTGGCAGTGGCAAACTTCTGTTAGTCTCCCAAGATAACTATAATTACAGCATGTTAGTCTGGTAGATCAACTTGATTTCCAAAGGTACTGGAGAGGCACGCGTTGAAGTGAATAACTCCTTAACTACCAGAAGTGCTTCTGACTGAATTATTTAACTTTTGTCTTTGCTGTTGCACTTCCTTACAGACTGGGGGTCTCGTAGGTGCTTATGGCAGTGGACACAAGCTGGAAGCATGCTTGTACGCTGTACCTGAAATACTGACAATGGCTCGACTGAGCTGTGGTAGAGAAGGGAGGTAGAAGCTGTTTCATCAGATGCTTCTGATTTCCCAGTATTTGTGTGCTTACATGTTTTTATTAAATTTTGAGGAAGAAGAATATAAGTTAAGCAGTAGTCCAGCTCTTCCCTGCCCCCTTCTTGATATTTTGCTGGTGCCAGATTGCTTTCAGCAGGGAGGCATGCTCGTATGATACGCACTGGAACCACTTCTGTTCCACCTCTGTTTCCATCCCTGCTTACCAGCCTAAGTGAATAGCTAGGAAGATGGGGCAGAACGTAGGTTTTCCAATTAGAAATTGGAATTAGATCTCTCTGGTGAACACAATATGTAAATTAGCTCAGGAGTCAGTTCATGTTCTGGTCCTTTATAATACCAAGGAATGTTAGATTCTTGTATGTGCTAGCTTTGTCACCCCTGCAGCTTTAACAGAAATACTGACTGTTGTTGGAAGACCATTTGCATTTTGGATCTTTTGCCTGAAAACTCAATGAAGAGTAACATAGAAAGTGTCATTTGTAAAGAGGAAGTAAATGTAGTTCAGGGTTTTAGATGGAGAGGTGCTTAATGTGCTAGTCAGGACCAGCCTAGGTGATCTTGGAAACAGCATCTCCTGGCTAACAAAAGTATGGCAAGTGATGGAGGCTAAAACAGTAGCATTCATTGCACCCCAGGGAGGTATTTAGCTGAGAGTTTAAAGGTGAAGTTCATGGGCATACCATCTTCAGAGATTGTCTAGCCAAGAGCAAAGCATTGCTGCTTGTTCAGTGGCACACATGGAGACAGACACTCAGAACAGCCTTGTTAGTAGTCCTAGTGATCAGTGTGTAATACACTGGCTGGTATCAGCTAGTTCTCCAGTGACTTTTAAAAATCACCGATAGACTTACATTTTGGCTCTTCATGCAGGTATACCTGTTGTAGTGAATAATCTAGCTTGTACCTTTCTGGCTGTTGGATCATCATCTGTCAAGTTCTGCTTAAGTTGAATATACTTAAACTGTCAATGCCTTATCTTTTCAGTAGAAACTTTCTGTTGTGTAGAGGGACAGTTGAGACCTTCAGTCTGACTTTATCTTAGTACTAGTCAGCAAGCATCTGACTGGTAGAAACCATCTCTATAAAGCAGTAACGAATCCACTATGATAGTCCTGTATTTGTAGGGTGTTTTTTGCTCAATTACAGCTATTTCTGTATTGAAGTAAAGTGTTCTGTTGTGCGGGAAGCTGTGGGGGAGGATGTCCTCTGTTGATAGATATTACTCACCTAAGCTGGGTCACACAGGCTATCTATTAAGTTTCGCTACTGCTTGGCGAAATAAGAGTAAAAAAAAATATCTCTGTATACCTTGTAAATAAAAGTTTAATGCTTGTTTAATTTATTGTCATCTGCTTTTTTGGTAGGTATGATTGTTTTAATACTAAGCTTTTGATAAGGAGTGACTTCTGAAAGCTTAATTGGTTAAAACTGAGTTTGTATAGTACAGTTTTGTGTATTGTGTAGGACAGTTGGTGAAAATGTCTTTGCTTGCAACGTAACCAATGATGTGTTGTTGTCCACACAAGTTTTGTTTGATATTACTGATTTGTTTTTGACCAGATGATTATGTTAGTCTAATTTATGTGCTACTAGCTGAATATTAAAGCAAGCTTGTTCTTTGTGTTCTTCCTCCCCCAGGACAAAATGTTTCACTTTTGGGTAAATACATTCTTCATAGGACTGGATGAAAATTCAGACAAAGTAGAAAATGGAAGTCTAGTTGCAGATCAGGAACTTGATGGTATTTTCAGTACAGAGCGCTCAGATAATGATAAGGAATATTTAATCCTTACATTAACAAAAAATGATCTAGACAAAGCAAATAAAGACAAAGCCAACAGATATTTCTCTCCAAACTTCAAGGTCAGTATATATTATGTGTAAACAAAGCTGAAAAGCTGCATGACGTTATCTGGTTTGTCTGTCTTGCCTTATGGAGGAACCATTTGAAACTGCTGCCTGTAGAAGTTTCATTCATGTATTAGTATTGCCACCACTTAAAAAGCTAGAAGGTTTGCTACATTTATTTGCTTTTTGGGAAGTCGATAAATGTTTAGAGACTGTGAGTAAAAGCTTTGGGTTGTTTCAGGTGTTGGTCAGAGCCATTAGAGATGAGTAGTAGGAGAGCCAGAGAGCCATGTAGCATCTTTCCTGTGCCAGCTGCATTGCCATGAGCCCTGGGCTCTACACAGTAATTCCTCAGTTGATTTGCAGAGGTGCCTGCCTCACAGGAATACCTGTGAGTTCAGCTTTGAGGAATATGAGCCATTGCCAGCACCATTTTTAAAAAACGAAAACATTTTTAGTGTTTTCTAACTTATTTTCTAAAGATCAATTAGACCCCAGCACTTGTTTGAGGGTAATGGCCATAGTTGCTTCTTGAAATGTTGCTTGGATCAGACTTTTAAAACACACACACACGTGTCACCAGTTACAGAGCATTTTGTTGATTCCTGTGCACTCTTATTACAACCTCTTTTTTGTGCTGGCAGATGTCTAAAGCCAGGGTGGTCCCCAAGCTCGGTGTGGCACGGGCTGCTGCAGTGGGGTGGCCGCTGCTGGTGCTCAGGAGTACCCCTGGAGCTGGTGGAAATTTGCAGAACTCCTTCAGCTGGGCTTGGCAAACTGCTGCTTTGTCAGTTCAGTATTTTGTCAGGGGTGGTAGGGAGAGGCTGGCTAACTGCAGAAGAGCTTCTTCGTTATTTCCCTCTTTCCCAAGTAGAGAGAGGAGCACTTGCATGATTCACTGTAAGCAAAAGGCGCCACACTGTTAAAAATTGCATTGTTGCCTGTCTTGGGTTGAAGTCCAGGTTCCCTTTTAAAATGTTGTTTTTTCCTTTCCCAGGTGAAGCTATTTTTCACAAAAACAGTAGAAGAGCCATCAAATCCAGAGGCTAGCAGTTCAACTTCTGTAACACCAGATGTTAGTGACAATGAACCTGATCATTATAGATACTCTGACACCACTGACTCTGATCCAGAGAATGAACCTTTTGATGAAGATCAGCATACACAGATTACAAAAGTCTGAATATTTTTTTTTTATCGGAGATAAAAAAAAACACACAGAAAAAAAACCAACCACGAAGAGTGACAAACTTGAATAAACTGAAAAAGGACCTTTTTAAATGGCAAAAGGACATAGTGTCAGATTACCAGTTATAGGAGAACAATTCTTTCCTGACCAATCTTGTTTTACCCTATAAATCTACAGGGTTTGACACTTGTCCAGTTGGAGGAAAAAAAAAAAGGTTACGTAGCTCTGATATGTATATACCTTTTTGTGTCAAAAGGACATTAAAACTTCAATTAGGAACTATAAACATGGCACTTTCCCATTTTATTCCAGTTTTATAAAAGTGGAGACAGACCTAATGTGTATACGTAGGATTTTTTCCTTTTGTGTTCTGTCACCAAACAAAGTTTCGAAAATATACAGGTTCACATCCTGCCCCTTTTTTTGCACTTGTGTGGCAACAGAAAAGTCTGCAGTTGGCTAAGAAATGTTTCTAGAAGGTTTTACTACATTCTAATGCATGTATTTTGGATGGGGGATGAAAAGTAATGCTCAGAAAGGAATATAGTCCGCTGGAGCTTGGCCTGTGTACCATATCCGGCTCTTTACACGCACCTTTCTTTGGCATGCTACCGTAATTCATCCTGGACAATTGAAGAGTCGCCGCTGTCTCTGCTTGTTGTTTGTGCATTTTATTTTTTTAAGTGTAATGGTGCTAGAAAAGGCAGCTAGAGGGAGTGATTCTGTATAGGGGTACAGGAATGAACCTTCACAACATCCTAAAGACCCACAAATGAAGGGAGAAAAATTATTGGGGTCACAGAAAGGAAACACAGCAACAATGACTTAACCATACAAATGTGGAGGCTATCAACTAAAATATGGGCTTGAAACAAATTGTTACAAAATTTGACAATTTCTGTCTTTTTCTGAATTGTAATGGCTGCTCCATCTCCTGTGTAATCAAGGCCAGTGATAAAAGCCAGATGTTATTAGTGCATACATCAGTCACCATCTTACATTTATATTATTAGTTTTTCAATCATATTCCTGCTGTGAATACTTCATGTGCTGCCTTGCAAGCTTTTTTTTTTTTCTCATTAATATAAAAATACTTTGTAATGGTGCACAGGAAATTTCAATTGGAGATGCTCCAGGTTAGTGTTTGTTTTGAAGATTTATGATGCATTTATTCAATCAAACCTCTGTCAGCCGTTCCACCCCTTTGAACCTTACACATTCTATTACAGTGAGTTTTGCAGTTTTGCACACTTTAAAAAAAAAATTGTCACTAACTGTTAGGGAATTTTACTTGAATACTCAGTACCTACAATGTTTAAAAACAGACATTACACATGATGATGATCGGAGAGCTGGAGCACCTCTCTTAGGAAGACAGTCTGAGAGTTGGGGTTGTTCAATCTGGAAAAGAGAAGGCTCCTTAGAACCCCTTCCAGTACCTTAAGGGAGCCTTTTTACAAAGGCCTTTAGCGATAGGACAAGGGGTAGTGGCTTCAAACTGGAAAAGGGTGGATCTAGATCAAACCTCGGGAAGACGTTTTTCCCTCTGAGGGTGGTGAGAGCCTGGCCCAGGTTGCCCAGAGAAGCTGTGGCTGCCCCATCCCTGGAGGGGTTCAAGGGCAGGTTGGAGGGGGCTTGGAGCAACCTGGGCTGGTGGGAGGTGTCCCTGCCATGGCAGGAACTAGATGATCTCTAAGGTCCCTTCAACCCAAACCATTCTATGATATAGAGGAAACCAGTGTGGCACTAAGTCCTCAACACTGTGTGTATATGAAGATGTGTACTTTTAAAATCAGAGCTTGTTCCAAATACATTGTTTGCTATTAAAACAAACAAATGAAAAGCAGCAAACCACCCAACAGATTTCTAAACTGGCAGTGTTGTATTATTTGTTTGTAGGGATATAGCCAGGAGTAGGGCTTGAGATTCACTTTTGGTATATAATTGACATGCCCAGACTGCAGATGACTTAAGAGTACAACTGCTATTGCATACAAATGTGAAGTAGCTGACAAAATTCTCTCGGAAGTACACCATGAATAGCTGTCCTCAAATTGATGCTTTTTTTTCAGGATGTAATACACCCTCCCCTGCTTTTAATTAACTTATTGGTGCTGACATTGAAGTTCAGTAGCTGTGTTCTTGCCTAGATAACACCTGTGTATGGAATCTGTAAGGGCCCTGTACAACAGCATTAATGGTAAGAATTTGAATGAGACAAGGCAGGACTTCCAGTAATTACTGTTGGTAAACAAAGGTATAAAGTGCTTTTTTTTTTTTTTTTTTTTTTTTTTTAAAGTATCTCTTGGTCAATTTTACTCATCAGATTCATGATTCTAACTTCTAACAAAGCTGATAAATATTTTCTGACTTCTAGGTTTAATTAGACTTTAATAGCTTAATGGATCAAGATTGCTGGTTCCAGTGCTCATTATTCCCACTGTTATTGACGAGCAGGAGGTGGTTACCTTGGGACGTGATGTTTAACTCTTTCCCTTCGAATCGTGTTTCACCTTGTCTGTTTTTTAACAGTTGAAAGTTGTGTTGGCTAATAAACAAAAATGTTCATGCTTTAAAAGTATTTGGATATTGACACTACTTCGTGTCCCACTTTGAACAATAAAAATTGGATTGGTGTGGTTCCGGTATGTAACGCTGAGGGCTGGATTGGAAATCATGAGGCAATGGGCTTTTGCACTGTTATTTTTCCTTTGGAATGTGAAGGTTGGAATGAGGGTTTTGATTATTTTTTTTTTTGTTTCGATGTCTTTGAGAAGCCTTGCTTACATTTTATGGTGTAGTCATTGGAAATGGAAAAATGGCATTATATATATATTATATATATAAATATATATTATACATACTCTCCTATACTTTATTTCAGTTACCACCCCCATAGAAGTTGACAAGAATTACTATGACTGAAAGGTTTTTGAGTCCTTATTAAAACTTTATTTATGACAGTATTCATAATTAGCTTGAATTGCATTCTGTAGGTAATCTTTCCTTGAGTTTCTGGACTGTATGCTTAAACCTTTTTGGATGTGCAAGAGCTTACATGTCTGAAACTACTTGAAGGCATCACTTTGGTAAGAGCTTACTGTTCGGCCCTGAAGCCATCCCCTAGTCATTGGTAGCCCCACTCAAAATATTTGCCACAGCTATTAAAGGGCAGTTGTATAAAGAGCATCCGGATTCATTCCTGTGGCACACATTGTAAACTGAAGTGGAGTTTACATGCAGCATCAAATGTTTCAGTTTTCAAAAAATAAAAGAGGAAAAAAAAAAAAGGATGCTAGTGTGCAAGTTCCATGTTTAGTCACAGCAAATGTGTGCAATATGTTAACGATGCCTGTGGTTGCCACAAAGTGCCTCGTTTACCTTTTAAATACTGTTAGAAAGTGTCATGCATGCAGATGGATGGGGTGGAACTGTGCACTAAAAGGGGCTCCAACTGCAGTGTTTGGCAGAGCTGCCTTTCTCTGCCAGTTCAAATTTTCAGTCTGTTTTCATATAGCGCATATATATATATAGATACTAAAAGAAAAAAAAAAATCAGTCTGTTAAGCAGCCTTACTCTGATTCAGCCTCTTCAAATACTATTGTGCTGTGCAACAGTGGCTCTGTGTGTAATGCTATGCACTGAGAATACACAAAAACCAAGTATGACATGTACAGGATAATGCCTCATACAAATCAGATGTCCGTTTGTTATTGTGTTTAACAACCCTTTATCTCTTAGTGTTAAAACTCCACTTAAAACTGATTAAAGTCTCATTCTTGTCACTGTGTGGGTGTTTTATTGAAGTATTTTGAGTATGGAAACGTGAGCTAAAATATTTTGCTTGTAAGCCATGAAACTTTGAGCGTGATCGTTAGAGCAAAGGATGCTCCTTGTGCATTAAGGGATTTTTAAGGGAACTGCAGCTTAAAACCCTTCTATGTTCAGATGCTTTGAAGGAGTGTAGGCACTGGAGGTGCAGGCTGTGCAGGGAGATCAGACCCTGTGCTGTGGTGCTGTCGCGGTGGGACGCATCCCAGCTTTCCTGGGGAACTAAACCATTATTAGTCTCCAAGTAAGAGAACTGTCCAAAATGTGCATTACCTTCTTTTTAATGTCAACCAGTGCGTCTCCAGCAAAATGTGAGTCAAACCTGAGAAGTCTTTCCCTAAAGTGGCTTTAAATGGGCAGGGATCTGTTTTTCCCCATGCTCAACACATACATTGAGTATGTAGTTTGGGGTTTCTTTCTTGTTCCTCGTCTGTTTTCAAACTGGTCTTTAAACTGGCTCTTTACTTAAAACGTACCATTGTTCTCCTTTTGTGTCAGGGTTACCCTTTGAGCCTCTGGGAAAGAGACTGAGAGCTCAGTGTGCAGCCTCTGTGCGTCCAGGGTGCTCTCCTGTGCCCCGTGCATCCTGGAGATGTGGCGTTGGGGGACTTTAACTCCTTCCTCCTTCCTTCCCGCTGGTGTTAACACGGGCCCTGGGTCACATCTGGCTGAGCAGCTCCAAAAAATGTGTCTAGCAAGCAGAGGTTTTGTGCCGCGCAGCCCGTTCTGCTCTCAAGTGGCAAGAGAAGTAGAAGGTGGTGTTGGTGTTTTGTGGGGATGGAGTGCTTGCCAGCTGTGTCTGGTCCTTCCTCGGGAACGGCACGGTGTAGGGCTTATACACCATCTGGATAAAACAGCAGGAAGTACTAACCAATCTGTTAATACATGTTCCTTTTTTTTCTTTTTAAGTAAGCTTGTTTTTCATCCAGAAAATGAAAATAAAGGGGGAAGGTACAGAAAGGTGGATGGGAAGCTTTAAGGAAAGTAGTCTGGACTGCATTCAATACGTTGAGTAGCTTCTATAAATACATAGGTCTACATCTCTGGAGGGTTTCTAGTCTGAAGAGAGGTGAGAAGTGCTGTTGAAACGTGGATAGAGTATTGTATTTGGCTTACGCTCTTCTCCTGTTGACTAAAAGTCCCACGCTCCAGTCCTTAGCAGCTAAAAGCTGCTTATGCAAAAAAACCCCATACATTGTTTTTTTCTCTTTACAGCTGGTGTGCGCGTGCTGGTGAGCGCCATGGCAATTGCCCTCCCGGGGTGGTGCTGGGTGCTTCTCTGGGGGATGCTCCCGCCTGCTCCATCCCTGCCCGTGGTGTTTCCCTGTCCTCCTCTCACCTCCTCTCCTGCTGAAAGCTCCAGCCCGGGTGCCCTGGTGAG